AGACACGATACCCGTTTGAGTCTAACTCGAGGCGACCTTGACTAAATTCATAAGGGATACCAAGACATTTCCGATCGTGGTTTGATACCAAGTCACAGGTCAGAACGTATGATTTTGATATACTGGGGGTTTACTGCTTGCTCCAGTAAATCAGCCAGCAGAAATTTCTCTGAGATCAGTACTGAGTCGAAGTCGCCGTAGGCGACGAGCACAAGTACCAGACGGATTGGCTCAAAGATAGTATATACGCACCTCCTGGAGTGATTCGTAATGAGATACAGCGATCTCAGAGAGCAGGCATCACATTTCGAAAGGGTACAGCCAATGCGGGACGGTCAAGAGGTCGTATGGGTTTCGAGGGGGTATGATAGGATCATGCACAGAATGTCGTCATCGAATGTTCATAGCGCCCTTTAGTGCAACGGATATGGTCTACGGAAAAGATTCGATGCGCCGACGACAAAAGCCCCTCGAGGTGGTGCGTGTAACTAGGAGATGAATCTTCTGTTTGATCAAACTGATTGTATGACCAGAGTATCTATAGCGCTGGATGGGTACCTGGAGGAATACCGCCCGTATTGCAGACAGACTTTATCTTCAGGCTGTTTCAAAATTCTCCTTAAAGACATTTAGAGAGAGAGATGGCATCTATACCCTTTTCCAAAACCTTCCACATCGTGGCAGTAGACACGGCATGCAAATATCGATATTGTGTACTAGTCGCCCCCGCTGAAAACATTTGGTAATACGTCAATACCTTGAGAGGGTACTATGGGTCTGGTGGTGCATTAAGAGCGCTAAAAGCGGTTTTGAGAGCATTTACATCGCTAACATACGTTGTCCAGACGTATGATCGACAGACCTATACACTGCTATTGAGACAATCAGATGTTCATCATAGATGATAGAATCTGACGACGTTCGAGTATGCCATGAGTGTCTTCACTTTTTGCTCCGTTGTGCAACCGAAGCGAGGTTGATACGTTCTATAACTACCAGATCATCAGAACTCAATGAGTTTATGGCATGGGACATCAATATGTACCGAAAACCATGCACCTATGTCTATCCAGACTGAAAGCTTCGTTACTAGCTTCCGCATGCTACCCCAGATCATCAGGGCCATGTCTACCGAACTCGAGCGCAGGGAAGCCGCGGTGATATGAATAGATCGTGACTGTTCTTCTCTAAATCCTTGTCAACTGAGGATTATTTGATAAATTCATTCTTGAAAATTTCCGTTTGCATCCATATAGCAAAGCCAGTAGAAACTGCTGTTGTCTCAGATTTCGTAGCAAAAGTTGACATAACCGACCGCATAGAGGAGGTCAACCATAAGTGGTAAGTAGGTTGGGGTGATCGACGCTCATGGTCACGTGCGTTCCTACCAAGGGTGCAGCCACGCGCGCGCGCCGCGGTGCAGGCTGACCTGCAACCTGCAAATGAGGTCAGGCTCTTAGTTTGGGCTTTATATCAATTCTCTCCATCATTTCTGCTTTCAACATTTTTCGTTGTGCTCAATATAACGCGTGGGATCGATCATGAGGTTCAGTGCGCCACGATCTACCTCCCCTTCGCCCGAGCGGTGCGCGATGCTACTTACTCGTCATTTCCACAAACCTAACAGAACCCACAGGAGAAAGTTAAAATACGGAGTCCCTTCTGACGAATTAGAGGACTCAGAGTCGTCTCAGTCAGATGCGGAGTCGGCACATAGCTCTGCATCTTCGGATTCAATCTGGTACAAGTCAGAGTCGGAGGTTCCGCCCCCACCTCCGTATGGGTCTCTTTAAGACTACTCGTGAGCCCCACATGCAGGACTTGACGTATTTTTTTTTACAGGAGACCCAGCCGACCGAAGCGGAGCACCGCAGAACAGTACTACATTGAAGATACTATAGCCTCTATACGGCTGCGAGTAAACCATCATGACCCATACGAGGAATGGGAGAAAGAGATCAAGCAAGAATCATTTGTACGTCTTATCGCTGCACTACTCACAAGTCACAATTGATGCGAATGTGTGACAGCGCTTGGCCCGAACAGAGCAGTCGTTGAGCAAGGTTGAACGTCATAAGAAACAGAGTCAAGCGCACAAGGCTGAAGCGAACAAACGCTCTGTGGTTCAAGAAAAACAGATGCAGGCGATACAGGATCATTTGGCTGCCTTGAATATTCGTCGGCAGGTTGGAGAGAAAGCCATGGTTGAGGCGTGGAAAGAGCGCAACAAGAAACTTTGGGACGGCATCGAGGCAGTGATCAAGTCGGAAGAGGAGAAAGTCAGAATCAAGCTCGAAGCTGAACGGAAAAAGCGGGAAGAGGAAGAGAGAAAGAGACAAGAGGAGGAAGAGCGGCGGCGCCAAGAGGAAGAGAAGAAGCGTAAAGAGGAGGAGGAACGCATGCGGCAAGAGCAAGAGGAGGCGGAAGCGAAACGGAGAAGAGAAGAAGCCGAGCGAATCAGACGAGAACGAGAACAGGCTGAAGCTAAACTTCGCGAGACGTTAGGTATCACGACAGCGACCCAGGATTGGTGTAGCGCCCGGGACATGCTCAGAGTGAGTCTATGCTTGTTATATCCTGTGCATTCTCTCACATACTGCGCAGTTGCTTAAAGCGGGCCCGATGGTGACTGTCAAAGCGAACCAAAATCTCAAGAGCATATGGAGTGCGGGGCGGCGGGCAATCATCCCCAAGATAGGCCAGTTGACGGAAGATCCGCAGAACATTTTACGTATTGTAAGCTAACCATAGCATCCTCAATTGTCCGTATGCGCTCATGCCGCTGTAGTACGAGGAGATTGTCGTAATTCTTCGCCCCAAGACGCCGCATCATCAGACTGTGTATTTCGCATTACTGTCCAATCTCGCGAAAGCTATCTTCATGCAAGCCGAGATTGAGGTAACTGCGGAGAAACGCAGCGCCATTCCTCTCGCACAACTCGCTGTCAGATTGCTTGTCGGGATCGAAGGCTTTGCAAAGATTTTCTGGACTAAGCTCTGCCAACGCGCAGGAGGCTGGCCGGTCCCGTTTACTATTCCCTCGGCGGACTCGGACGGCTCAACTTTCACTGCGGAACAACGCAAGAAAGCGATGGGTTACCGCGAGGAAGATACGTCCGTTGGGGATTATCTCGCCCGTATTTCTGGCATAATGCGTATCTATTTCCTGATCATGGGTCATAACCTGACGCAGCCTACGGAGGAGCCTCTGCACCTTGCCTATCGTCAATCGCGGTACTGGACATACTTCGCGCGTATGTTGATGGATCACCAGTTGATGGAAGATCCTGTAGCGCCTAATGTGCTTCACGGTAGGCATTTGTGCTCCCATGTCTCTGTACCCTTCTGATGTCTCAACAGTGGCCCTGGATGTTGGCGGGCTCGAGGCGCGCGATATCTGGGGACAGCAGTGGATCAAGCTCCTCGAGCGACTATACGAGTGTACAACAACGGGCATACCTGGGACTAATGGGCGCCTCCTTGGTGGAAGTAGTCCTGAAGGTACTTCTGCTCGAGTTAGGGTGCAAATCGAGATCGAGCGGATCCTTAGTGCCCCATAGCTGTTGAAAGAGATGGTTATCACTGCTCAGAGAACCTCATAGTTTACATATGCAATGCTGTATTGTTAGAGCATCTTCGTTTGGCTTGTGCTGTAGATTTAAGGTACTTGATGTATAGTATGTAGAATATATCTATCCCAGCGTATTGTACAGTGGCGGCCGAAAGTAATGCTCGAACGAAAGAAATGTCATTTTATTACCAGGCAATCCACCTCACATTCCAGCAATTTTTTCTGGTATTTATTAAGTAGAAATTACTGTATTGCCTACATTAAGTACTGTAGATAATGAGATTGAATTGGGTGAGATATGGAGTGCGACACGTATGGGCGCTACTTTTGTCCACTACCAGTGTATTCAGCTGCAATGGGCATTTGCCTTTCTCAAATCAATTGACAGAATTGTTGTCACGGGCGATGCACTCGCGGTGTATCCTGCACACTTATCGCTGTTCGCACATATATGCCTCGTAACAACTATTAAACTGAAGTTAGCTAGGATGTGATTGCCAATCTTGAATGTCTCTGGGCCTGCCGAGAGAACTTGCGCCAGAAATGTGCACGATAGAAGTAAAGAAATAACATTTTGAAACGATATGAATAGATAAAATCTAGAATGAATACACACCGCCTATTTCAATGGACCATCAGATCCATTCCACTTTGCTTCGCACAAGGAATCAACCCCGCTAGCGACCTAGTCAACGGAATAATGAACCATCATAGCTACACCAACAGCCCAGAAATGTCAATGTAGCCGCGACCAGTCGCCCATGGCTAGATATAAGTGAGTAAGTGGCTCGTGCGCAAAGGGAACAGACGATTCACCTGTGCCGTTGAATGATAAATCTCGCGAGCCCAAATCTCATCGATTCTTGACCTAGCGACTGCCTACGCAAGAAATGGTTCTAAGCTCAAAGTGTGAGACATGAGCATACCCAAACCAACGAACCTCGTATCGTTCGGGTCGGTTCACTCGCGCCTTTGCATACGGGTGAAAACGCAGCAGATGTTTCGAAACGTAGGCGGGCAGGCGGGCGGAAAAGAACTTGCAGTGGGACTGTTTCGAGGTCGCCATATGTGAATGTAGATCGTCGGCGTTGACTGGAATACGAGATGCGTCGCGGCCAAAGAAATCGCTGAGGAAGCGCACCTAGCCGCAACGTGCCCGTGGTTCAATGAGATTGAATAACTTTGCATAGCGGCCATTATCTACTCTGTCTTGTGGAAAGTCCGTCTTGAAAATTTCTTTGAATATTTGGCATGGCTGAATCTTCATGCTCCAGCCTTCTGCACGTCAATCTGCCTATTGTCTCAAGGATCTTCGACTTCCAGGTAAAATCGGGTCGATCTTCATGGTCATTACAGATGGTACCATTACGCTGGGCATTCCTGATATTTCGTGCTCGATGCACGCATGCAATATTGCCAGCACGAACAACGAATGTCTTTGACTATAAGGGCTGCTGCGCGGCTCTGGCTTGGGCGCGTAGGGTCACGGGCTTAAGTAACGCGTCACAGGTACCTTTTAACATCAACCTACAGCAAGGGTGAGTGAATATTGAGTGTATTTCCTAGGATGTGTCTAATATCAGTATAGAGACAATGCAATTGGAACCTAGAGTCCTGCCTTATCGCACCTCTAGTATACCTGTACACAGAATTAGCCACAGCTGGATTATACCTACAGCACAAGTATCCCTACTCATCATAATTTAGAGTAAAGGAAACATCACCTGAAACCTGAAAAACTTGTAGTCTAATCAACCTGGACTGCATAAAGAAATCAGGGGGTCTACAAATGAGACATTACATGAAATCTGCTACAGAAGAGGAAAAAACAGGTGAGCATATTTCAATATATAACTGTGCACAAGGCAAGGGTCAGTGGTTATTGCACACATGCATGTTTAGATTGGCATCATAGTGGAGTGCAGTGGTATGATGTGAGGATGTGATATTTTCATGCAATAGGGTGGCATACCTGCAAGTGAATTACAGACAGCAGGTTCTGCTCTCCTAAAAGATGTGTCTCAAATAATAGTGCAGCAGATAGTGAATAAGAATGCTGCATGAGGGCAGAGAGCACCTTGATCCCCATGGCTTCTTGAAGTCTCTCTCCCATTTCCCAGTTCTATAGCAGAGGCCTTTCTGAGCCAGTCCCCACTTGAAAAAAAGGAAAGGGAACTGGTTCGAAAGGGCCGAGCCAACAGTGCTTGAACTAGCAGGACATTGCGATGATTTGGAGAAGAATCTGCCGGTAACTGCAATCCTTGGATCCCAAACTGACTTTGAATACCTGCAGCACTTACCTCTCGCCAAAATCTTGTGAGAGAAGACAGCACAATGGATAACTATGATATCTATCCGCGCTCTCTCCGAACTTTAGGAGCGCCGCCAGTGAAGCCGACTCCCACCGCGCGCGCACATAGTAAGGAGTGGACGGCTAGAGTCCACATGCGCCTACAGCTTACCTTTCCACATCTCCAGGGTATCTGAGTAGCGCGAGAGGTGAATGTGAGGACGCAGACGATCGTGATCGCCGGAACACGCTTTTTTTTCGTAGGATTACATGGATTCTAACAACATATATACCACATCATAGATATCTCTTACATACAACTCGTTAAAACCACTAACCCGCCGCGCGCAATCTTTGGTGGCGTGTAAAAGCAAATATGCATGCGAGAATAAGTAGGATAAGTTGAATCAGGTTATGAACTTTAGCGAACTTCGAATTGTGCTAATAATCTGAATGAAACATGCATACGAACCGTAAATTCTATCAGTCAGGCGAACATGAAATATGATTTTTTTTGGTACGAAGTCTACAGTCGGGTCTTCACCTCACAGTCTTCGTTGAGTCGCTGCCACCACTTTCACCAACACTTCTTCTCACCAGCCAGCTCGCCGGCATAAGTTCTCCAGCACCTGCTCCCGCCAGTCCGAACTTGCGTGGATTGTGTCCTTAGTAGCATTAGAGTTCAACGCATGCCGAAATGTAGGGCCGCCCTACAAATCATGATAAGATCAATAGGCGCCACGCCTATAGCTAACATCGAACACCATCCTCAAGTCCTCCTGTCCCCCGAATATTTCTTCGGTTGCTTATTACCCGCTTTTTGCATTTGCGAGTAAAAACAGCGGTGCTTTTGTTTTGCAACGCTTCTATAGGGATCACCTGTAGGTTCGTCACTCGCTTCCCTCATCTATGGCTACGTTAGGGTAACCGTAAGCTGGCGTCTCACGTCTTCTGCCGCTGTCGCAACAATGATATTCGCTTATTCGCGTCAGGCGTACTGAGTGGGTATAGGTAACATACATCCTCCGAACAATATGCATACATCCAACTACATCTACAACAACACAAAATTATCCCAAAGCAACGATAGCGCTAGCAATGTCAATATCGAAGGGCCTCTCTAGGTCCTACGCCGCCTCACTGGGTCGAAACGACCAAATCTCCGCCACCGCCTTCCCCGCCCGCTTGCACAGGATCACACACGTCTCGCGCGTGTACGCAATCTTCCACACACTCTCGCTCGGCTCGCTCAGCTCCCGCACGTACTCGCACCGCCCCGGCTCCCGGCGCCAAAGTCGCACCCGCCCGTCGTTCCCGCTCGTCGCGAGGAACCGCTCATCGAGCTGCAGGCCGGTGACGGAGCTGTCGTGCGCGGCTAGGCGTTGGATGACGCTGTACGTGGGGCTCAGGGAGAACGTGATAACGCGGCCGTCCGAACCGCCAGTCGCAAGCATGGTCGGAGATAGCTGTAATTGGCAAACAAGCCCAGTGTGTCCCTGGAGCAGCCCTAAGCAGGAGCTGGGCCAGAATATGCTTTAGCGACACTAGAAACATGTACTATTGCGCGCAAGCTCACCCTGTTGCAGCATCCCAGACACGCACAGTGGTGTCCAAACCGCCGGATGCTATCCGGACGCCATCGAATGCTACGGCGTAGATCTGGTGGAAGTGTCCGCGCAGGACGTGCAGGCACGCCCCCGTATCGATGTCCCATACGCGGCATGTGCAGTCGTAGCTCCCGCTGACGACGCGGTTCCCGCAGACATCCAGGCACCGCACGCTCTGCTCGTGCCCCTCTAGAACACGGAGGCACCGTCCTCGCTGGATGTCCCAGACGCGCACAGTGCGGTCCCGTGAGCCGGATACCGCGATCGGACGGCCGTGGAGGACTTTAAGACACCGAATCGTGGAGGTATGTCCGCGAAGTGTATATATACAGTATCTGCACACGCCCACTGTTGAACGGCAAAATACCCACGACGAACCAAGGGACTTACCCGGACTTGACATCCCATACACGGAGTTCCTTGTCACAGCCTCCACTGACCACAAGAGCGTTCGGCTGGCCCCACCCGTCAGAAGCACCAGCCGGATTACTAGGCTTGGGGGAATATTCGTGTCCTTCATCGGATTTGTTAGACTTCTCTGCTTTGCCATCCCGGAACACCTCGGAGGCAGACCGTCTGCGCCATCGCTTGCTGAAACTAGGCGGGGAGTCAAGTCCAAGCGCTCGCCGAAGTGTCGAAGGTAAAGTAGGGTCCACCATCGTATCATATTCAATTTCGTAAGCATCCGATTCTTCGTAGTTGTCCTCTTCTTCCATAGCCATCACATCATGATCAGGCATGACCTCTGGGCTGGCTCGCACCAGTGCAACCGCCCAGACACCAGAGTCGTGTCCGACGAGTGTCCGGCTGAGCACGCCTGTGCGCGCGCTGAAAACATGTATCCGACTATTTGCGAGGCCAACAACGACCCAGGAGTCGTCTATAGCCACGGACGTGGGGATCGATGAGTTAGGGGCCTCGGGTGGGGGACGGTGGTTCGGAGGCACTAGGGGCATTCTGTGAACTCGAAGCAGTTTGCCACCGTGGAGCCAATTTGCGGCTGCGAATTCGTGTAAGGAAAGACAGACATAGTAACAGGAGGGGATTTACTCGTGGTATGTGCATACTGGAACTGCTTGCGGTACGAAGGGATGGACTCGATCGCTGGCGCGTGGATCGGCTGAAGACCCAACGTCGAGGATGCTGTGCGAAGATGGTCATCATGCGTAAGGTTATCTAGAGGTCGCTCGCAATACCCACCTGATGCAATCAAGTGGTGGTGGTGATTATCGTCTCCATCTACAGGCTCTTCGCCAATGACCTCGTAGCCATGAAGGCGACACATTCTCCTCCAGAGCCACTGATCGTCGAGAATGCGATGCCATGTCCTGCTCACTCGACTGGCGCGGGCAAGGGTCTGCGGATCGTCAATGAAACCGAGAATATGGAGTGTAATCTCTGGAGGCAGGTCCTTCATGAAGTCGCGTCTGAGCCTTGGTGTGACGGAAGTCGATATGAAGAGCAATTCTGCCGGCGTGCATTCTGCCAAGATAGCGGAGAGGTATTGGAAGCGCAGTGACGGGGGCAAGGCGGCGAATTCTCGACGAGATACGTGAGCAGGATCATGGGTGCGATCGCTGATCTCGGAAGGCTCGAATGCTTTGAGTCGTGGTGAGGGTGCAGGAGTAGGAGGTGAGGTGATGGGCATAAAGAGCGTGGAGGAAGGATGGGCGGCCATGTTCAGTGTAGAGGTCCGAATGTGAATTTATTCAATGTGCTCGGCAGAAACAGTGCGGAGGCCGGCCTTTGAACACACCGCGAGACGAGTTGGTATGACGCGGGGTCCGCGCTGGCGGTGATTAGTCGAGCAAAACAAACCAAATCTGGGAGATCCAGGTGAGCCGCACCACTGGTAGAAGGAGACGAGCCCAGTCCGGGGACAGCAGAGTAAACGAAAGGCAGCGTCGTCGTCGCAGGAGGCAAGTCGAATGGTTCGTTCACCCGGCACCGCTTCGCTCCAGCAGCCTTCATGTTATATACAGTCACGTGGAGGCCTGTATTCGTTTCGGTTCCGTTCCTGTCTTCCGACATATGGTCCACAACAGGCTACAGCAACAGCCTCCCTGCTCAGCAGACATGACCCGTCTGCGGTACAAATGTCACTCTGATCTATACGTTGCCAAGATCAGTCCTTGCTTTCTAGGAGATACAGTAACCACCGGTCCTAATGCACAATTGGTCTCATCATGTCCTCGCCATTCCTACACACTCATCTTCATGGCTATCGACGGATGCGGATTGTACCCTTCCACAACAATGTCATCTGCCCGAAAGTCATCAACGTCCGAGACTGTCCGCGTCCAGCGCAGCTTAGGGAACGCCTTCGGCGTCCGCTTCAGCTGCTCCTCCAGCGCATCAACATGATCCCGGTACACATGCGCGTCCCCGAGCTGGATGATTAGTTCATGGGGCTCCGTGTTCGTGAGATGCGCGACGAGGTGGGTGAGCACCGCGTATGATGCAATATTAAATGGGATTCCCAGCCCAAGGTCCGCGGAGCGCTGGTAGAGCAGACACGACAGCTTCTTGGGCGCGTCGGGCGCGTCTGGGGGCGGTAGGTGGACGTAGAACTGGCACAGAACATGACAGGGCGGGAGCGCCATCAAGGGTATATCTGTCAGAGAAACAGTGAGCACCGCACGCCCTGCGCAGAGACAGAGCACGCACCAGCAGGATTCCATGCGCTGAGGATGATCCTGCGATCGGTGGGCTCCTCCTTGATTTTCCTGATGCACTCTACGAGCTGATCCACGCCTTGTCCGGTGTAATCTGCGTCGCAGTCTGTGTACTGCGCGCCGAAATGTCTCCATTGGAATCCATATATTGGTCCGAGGTCTCCTTCTCGCCGATGGCCTAGCCCTCTCTTCTCCAGAAAAGCCTTACTCCCGTTACCGTCCCAGATCTTGATGCCCTTGGCAGAGAGTATATTGGAGTCTGTCGATCCATGAATGAACCATAGGAGCTCCTCAAGGATCCCGCGAAGGAACGTGCGCTTCGTGGTCAGGAGGGGGAGGGTGTCGTTTGCGAGGGAGAACCGAAGGGAGGGCGGCGCGAATATGGAGAGCGTGCCCGTACCCGTACGATCTGGTCGGATCTCCCCGGAGTCAATGACTTTCCGGCACAGAGAAAGATATTGGTATTCGTCGTGTTCAGCATCGCTCAGAGGGTTTTGGGTAGAGATAGTCATGGTATGATGGTGGTCGCGGAGGAACGCGTCGGACGGGACGCGTCGCGTCGAATAACGCGCTGTCACAAATGCACGTGCCTCCGATCACTTGAGTGCGGGGAAAGCAGTCTGAATGAGCCGTGGCATACATGGCTTGAGTCGACTTGTAGTTACGAGATTGAAGCCATAGTGTTGGTTAGATTTGGACAGGATATAAAACAAACAGATACAGTACAAATCGCTATGATCAAGAACAAAGCGCACGAGAACCCCATACATACGTATAAATCCTTATTCTAGATCGACTCGGACGGCTTCAGTGGTGATCATCCCAAGATATCGTCCACCTCTTCTTCTTCGTCCTCATCTTCCGGACCAGAGTCTGGCGGCCCTGCGGACGGAGTCTCACTATGCCGTCGGTCATTTCTCGCAGTCGCATTGCTGTTACGAAAGGTCAATAATTGGACTTGGAATGGGTGAAAGCGAGTGCAACACACCTATTCCTGCCAGCAGCCGGACGCGACCGAGGTACAGGTGTTCTCTCAATGGCATCCTCATCTTCGTCCCCATCTTCGTCCCCGTCCTCGTCTTCATCCTCGCTGTCAACTCGTCGCGTAAAAGCAGCTGCCATAGCACGATTGGTCTTCTCGGCCCTGTACAGCACATCGAGCCCATCAGTACGGCATCTCCAGCGCACCTTAGTGTGCACTTACGCAGTACGTCGCGGAGCAATCCGTGTCGGCGTAGCATGTGAAGGGGGCTTGGATCGCGACTGGCGAGATTTGTCGTCGTCGTCGGATCCCTCGTCGGATCCAGATATACGGCGCCGCCTGTTCCGTCTCATTCAGCACAATACGGTTTCTTTGAAACCTGCGGCACATACTTGGCTCTAGACCCTCGTTTCGATGACGCTTTCCCTTTGGGTGAGTCGCTGTCGCGGTCGGAAGTGGCCCCACTAGCAACAGAAGCCGTTGCAATGCTTCCCGATCTCCTAAGATTCCTGTGGTCAGTAGGGCTCACAAGAATACCGCATTGCAACGAACCGTTTTCTAGTAGCTCGTTTAGCTGGTTTTACATCTTCCTCGTCGGATTCGGGAGGAATGTTGTCGAGGAAAGTAAACAAATCCTGCATGTTCTCAAGCTGTCGATACTCGTCCTCACTGAATCCCTCCAACTGTCTAGCAAACTTCTTCGAAATCAGATCGTCAAACTTCACTATCGCGTTCTGAGCCGCTGCGTCCCGCATGGGACGGCGCTGACGATGTGATGATCAGTATAGATGGCTATAAGAATTCGAATACAACTTACAGATCGCAAGCTGTAAGTCAGAAGTTTCAGGGTGCGCAATTTATCATCATCAAGCTCTTCGGGTATATAGAGTTTGCTGAAGAGCTGGCATAGTGTCTTTTTGTCGTCCTCTAACATTTATCCGCGTCAGTCATGGATAAAGAAAAGGTTCGATATGATCGCTCACTAGTAGCCTCTTTGTTAAATAGAGCCTTGGCCATGTCTGACGCGAGGTCCATGTGGATGGTGTCCTCCGCCGACGCATGGCCTTGTGTACCTTTGACCGCAGCTCTACGATAAGTATCGTCAAAATTTGATCCTTGAACCAACCTAATTAGAGCTCACGCTGCTTTCTGCGGGTCAGTCCAGTCGACAAACATCAACCCCACCTGTGCAGGAGTTATCGGGTCTTGATTGTCATCCCATTCCGGGAAAGTTGCACACCATTGCTCGTAAAGGGGGATGAAGATCTGATGAACCGTTAGTGGCTTTACAGATGGATTATTGTCTCTAAAAAAAATACCTCCTGCATACGACGCTGGTTCTGCGTAGAGGAATAGCAGTATGCCGGGAAGAAGTACGACAAGCATTGGCGAAGTTCGTGATTGCCAACTGTTTCCGGTGAGATGTATACCAGCACCAAGCTCTTCAAAACCTGCATTCATGTCAGCTAATGCACTTCTTATTCGTGTATAGACGCACCCGATTATCCACTATCATGCCCGAGAGCATAAGTTTTGAAATGCCAATGCACAGTAGCGCCTGCACTTTTTCGGACTCCTCTTTTTCCAACAGGTGCAGGAGGAATTCTGAAATCCGATCACCCTAAAATAGAATATGAGCAGAATGCAGCATCCGATGCGCGCGTTACTTACGTTGGTACTTCCGGGCCCAAGGAAGTCGCCCTCATGAACCATCAGGATGTCAAAGACAACCTGCAGCACACTGATCTTCAGCACCTCAGGGGCAGTCTGCACTTGGCTTAGGAATAACTGGAAGGAGCCCAATGCCATGCGCTGACGGAGTAGCTAATCAGACAATTACATTCTTCACATACTACCTTGACATACCCGAGCAATGAGACAACATAGACCCAGACAGATCAGTCCCTTCTGCCTTAGGATCATCTCCTTCCGCTTCACTGAAGGGATAATCAGTTCACCGAGTATTCCCTCCAGCGTCGAGTTCTCTTCGAATGTCTATAATAGACATGTAAGAACGTGTAGAAACATGTGACTAGGACTCACCCCGTTCACCCGCTCCAAAAGGCCTATACAGAGCGAGAGGCATCGGAGGTCCGTTTTGTCCGCTTCTTCCTTCTCCGCAGGTGTCATCTCTGTGGTAGGCTTAGGCAGCATACGATTTGTCCTGTTCGTCGCTGGCGTTCGCCCAAATTCGCTCTCTCCGTCGTTAACCTCTCGCTGCACAAAATTGTACGATGAGAGGTCTGAAACAAGCTCTGCATGGAAGCTCACCAGTTCGTCTTCAGGGTCGCTAGGGTCCCTTAACTCGTGGACCACTTCGACAACCACTCGAATGAAATCACGCTCATTTGGCGATAGAATCCTCAGCAAGTCGAGACAGAGCGCAATGATGCTCTCCGGGAGGATTTTGTGCGAGATCATGTCCCCTACATGACCTCAGTCACGTCAGGATGAAGGATCTGAGCAACTCACGAACAAGCTGGAACATCTTTCTCCTGCCAATCTCATCTGCGTAATCAAGGTTGACTGCTAGCTTCAGTAGTTCGCCGACAATGAATTCGGTATCGATCTTCTGCTCCTCCATGCGTGCGTGGCGTTCTTCCTCAGCATCATCCTCTATGCCACTTCGCAGTAGCTGGTCTTCTTCATATTGTTCAGCTAATTTGATCAAGCCATTATATGCAGCCTGGATTCTAAAAGCCAATGCCGTCACCACCGGTAGCGTCGATTCCAATCTGATGTTGTCTTTAGTGGCTATGCAGTGATCTACGAAGACGCGGGCAAGAAATGCGCGCTCTAACGTGAGGGCTAACCAAAACTGGTCTGAATTTCATGTAAGCTCGGAATACTGACACAGATACAAAGCACTTGCCATCGAATTCAACGCTGTCAAAAATATCTGCCCTATTTGAGAACACACTGAGCAATGCATCTTCTCCGATTTTACCCTCATTAAGATCGAACAGCTTCAGGAACGCTACTATATCGCCCCGGATACCTTCTTCTTCCTCTGATTCTTCGTTTTTCATGCCGTTTGTACGTACGATGTCCACCCATGACGAGATCAGCTTGCCTGCGGCCGCTTTGACACTGTCCTCCCGATCCCCTAGACCATTGCGTATTATCAATTCGCGCTGAGCGATAGTCAATGCACGGGGATGAGTAAAACCAATCCCAGCCTCGGAGTCGGATACACAGTGGGGTTCGAGGATGGCAGAGTAGAGGAGTTTGCGAACGGTAGAATCCACGTCTCGTGAGCGGGCTAGAAGTGGGGTGAAAGTTTCTTGCGTCAAAGGCATGTTGATTAGCGCAGCACGACGGACGTCACTAAATAAAGTGTTCATCCTATATCAGTAAAACAAAGAGATGGCAGCGTACGACGAAGGATCAAAGGATAGCGTGTCGATCAAAACCCCCATGATGCTCATTTCATCATCGTCCAGCTCAGAGATATCCTCTGAACCGGCAAGCTTTGAGAGCGCAATAGTCGCCTGTACGCGAATAACCGCCTCTTTGTCCCTGACGCGCTCCATTAATGACGACCTAAGTGATCCGTATAGGTCCTCGCTATTATGCAATAGAAATTATTCGTGGAGATGAACTGAACACACAGAGAAGACATACTCTATTTCTCCCAGGTGTGCAATCATCTCAGCAATACATTGGACAACCCGAAAACGGACTGTTTTGTCTTTGGCAACACACCCTGCGATGAGGTACTTCAAGACCCGCGAAACAAATCTCGACGCAGTGGTATCTTCGTCCTCATCTATTTGCTCCTTCTGCTTCTCCTCGGAAGCTGTACAATGTCAGGATCTTGTGCAACGAAATCATTTGGCCGTCACCTTTCTCGTTAATAAACTTCGTGTAGCCCCCTACGAATTTAATCACGCGGTCGGCTACAGTGGTACCCTTTTTGAGCGGCAGAACACGACTCAGCATTACGAGCACGATCTCTTCGAAGGCGCGCTCGCCCGTGAGCTTGACACTCCGGCCATTCTGCACAGATTCTGTGTGCGTCGCTGCATCAGCCTGAAGCTTATACAAAGCGATGAAGTTTTTCTGGTGGTTCGCGGCAGTATTCTGAGCCTGTTCAAATATTTTCGGGACAGATGATTTGAGGGACTCGAGGTCCGCAGGGGGAATTGTGCGCGCAGGCATGGTGGAGACCGGAGAGTTGAACGACGCGTCGGAAATGAACGCGTTTCGCGCGCGAGTGACGCGTGACGCGAGTGCACGTGACAACATTTAGGGCCGCGACTAGCCACTGCCATTCCGACGAAGTCGCAGTAGCTTGGCCGCACGGAGACCTCGTTGGCTGTCCTGTCCTTCGCTTGCTCTCCATGTCCTCGACGGCGGTGCGCTCGATGCACTCTTCACAGCAAACTGTGTCCGCTGCACACAGACTCCCTGACCCTGTTCATGTGGCTCCGTATCTCACCCACCTCGTTACCCACCACGGGCAGCTCACTCTAACCCCGCCTCAAAATGCCGGGCGCATTCGCAAGGCCAAGACAAAACGGCAGGATCGAGACAGGAGTGAGAGAGCTCAACACAGTGAGGAACCTCGCTTCACCACGGCCGTACCGCCTACTCCGTCGAGGAGGCTGCAGTCTGCACCCTCCCCTGCCAGAGCTCGTAAACAGGCCACAGTGCCCGCGACTGCTCGCAGGAACGACCCAGTTCTAGACGGTGAGTCATATCGCAATGACATCTTCTCGACCGCTGATATGACACAATTGCACCAGTTCTGGACATTCCCGTGCCCGATTACCCTCCGCCATCCTTTCAGGAAGCCATATCTGCCTCCCTGCCCTTCACCCTGCCCTCACCATCCGATACTACCACAAATACGTCCAATTTTACCCCTCCATCTAGTGTTCCATCCTCTCCAACTGCTGCCTCGCTAAGAAATGTTCAATTTCCTACTGGGGACCATTCCATTGCTGCACAGGATCCACAGAACCCCTCTTTTCATTGCCTTCCAACGGGCTCTACGGATTCGGGAACAGAGTCAGATGGATCCAGTTCTGTTGAGCTGGTCAACATGGAGCCATTGCAGTACGGGTGGGACACTGATCGTAGTATGGGCGTGAATCTACAACAGCGTGTTGAGCGAGAGCTTATTCGACAGCAAGCCGTGGAACATCTTAGAGCACCCAGTATCCCTCGAACCCCGAAGTCCTCTATCCCCTACTCTGTGTCTAGCACCCACCATTCTCGCCGCTGTTCTCAATGTGGCTCGATGACGCCTTTGAGATCCGATGGCGCGCAGAGCCCGATTGATAGTGACGATGAAAGAGCTGAAGATCCGTTCGACGATTGTGTGGGTCCATTCACTGGCGAAAAGGCTAATCGTCGTCATAAGCTGCTCGACGCTTGTTCTGCGCCGTCTTCTCCCTCCTCCGCTAGTCCTACATTCAGCAACATGACCGCCCCTTGGGCGAGCAGCGTCACGCTCTCTCTCAGCAGTGTTTTCTCGTCGTCTCATAAATCAAGTCCCTTAGCACCGTCATCGTCCGCAACTCTTAAGCACAAGGAAAGCACCGGCCTCCGGAAGCTCTTCTTGTCTAAAGGTAAAGAGCGGTCTCCACCCCCTTCTCAGGAACAGGCCGAAGATCTTGATTCGTGGGAAGTTGTGGGGACTGATGTAACTACCTCGGAGCCTAGTGCATCGTTTTCTCCGGACGCCAGAGCCAGTTCGGAGCGGGAGAGATCCTCTCCTCCATTTCCTGCAATTGTCAGTCGGGCAGTAGGACGATCTCCACAGAGGCAGGTGTCACCTTATCCTGTTAACTCCTCACCCCTTCCGCCTGTTGTTCTACCTGAGAAGTCGCCTCTGCGGTTCCCGGATGAACGAACCCGGAGAGTCAGACGGCCACCACCACCCCCTCCCCCGACAAGAGGAACTGCTCCATGCAATCGACAACCTCCGTCGAGACAAAAGGGAGAAAGATTGCATAGCAATGCTCAGCCCAGTGATTTACCAGCCCAAAGCGCATTCATCGCGTCGCCAATCGCCGTCCCAGTCCATTCGCGAGGTGCCTCACCACCTGTATCTTCTGTCGCCGGACAGGCAGTTGACGCATCGGCAGCTAGTAACCCAATACCTTCCCACCCTTCCGGTTCATCCCCACTTACATCTCCAATGACTGCAGAACGTGACCTGAGAGTCTCCCAAGATATGTTACGACCCCCAAACCGTAATACGATGCCAAGGAGGCCTAGCCCACTGTCCTGCGAAGCCAACCTTCCCGTGTCGCCGATCGAGCCAGCACCCACAATTACTCCGTCCACACCGACCACTCCTTCTGGTCATCATTATGCAGGAAGACCACTCCCCAGGCCACCTAATTCCCCGTCTCCTTCTGTTGGAACTCTGGCAGTTCCCGAAAGCCCCCTTCCTCCCGTCGAACAGCACGATAGCAGTGAAAATGCTGCCGCAAGTTCCTCACACCCACCCACTCTAAACACGCACGATCAATCCGCTCAATTGACTGACTTGGATGTCGTAGTCTCGCGACTAGATAATCAAGGATCCGACGGTCAAAATTATGAGGTATGTCACTGTCACCGAGAAGACGTAGGATGCAAATTTACGGATCGACCAGGATTTGTTGTTGATATCCGACATCATCGGCTCGGCCAATGCTGATCCGCTATCCCCACTCTGCAGACCGACTTCTCCCAATACCCACCCGTTCGTCGGACGCATTGAAATTGAGCGTCGTCGCGTTCTGAAGGACGGCCGTGTAAAGATCAGGCTATCTCTGCTTGGCGTAACAGTGGATAAGTGTGGTATCTGCCTCTCTCAATTCAGGGCCGAGGACATGGCAGCTCTTGGACCTGTTTGTCAGCATTCGTAAGTTCCCTGCCTATCTGAGTCCTTCCCAGAATTTACATAAACGCGTGTTTATCCCTCGTCAGGTTCCATCGACGTTGTCTGAGGCGCTGGCTTGCTCTGAACCGAACCTGCCCTATGTGCCGTGTCATTCTAACCTTGGACAGTTCTGAACCTGATGAGTGGACTGAGCGAGTCGCGGACGTTTGAAATTTGTAGCTCTATGTGTTGTCCACATTTTCTGATGTACCATTTACACACTGTATGATTAGTCTCATGTTTTGGTACCGGTACTCGTAGCACCGCGGACTCGGATACATATGCTGCCGTACTGTGTAGGGCTTTGGGTTTGTGTTCTGGTTCATGCATTCATCCATGTACAGTGAATGCGCAATCGATTTTTTGTCTCCCCTCGCCGCTTTGCGGGTATACCGTAAATAATTCAGAGTACCGGAAATCTTAGGGGGGCAGCTTGGTTCGGTGGAGATCAGCATTGGCAGATTCTAGGCTTTTTCTTTTGCCACTATTCATTACCCACAGCTCTCCCGGGTCTGTTTGAAAAGACAGGTCATTTTGATGATAAACGCTCGAACTTGTCAATGCGTCCGATTTCATCATCGTGACTCATCGCCCTCGCGCGAACCGACTCGTGTACGTATAATCAGGAACTTGAGGGACGTTGACGGTTGGACTTATCGCTCTCGCGGCCAGGTACTAGTATCTCCAGCACACCGTGACATGACAACACTTGTGCGCGAGTCAGATTTTGCGCCTCTACCAGCCGACAACGACGAACAGACGTATGTGTCCGTCTATGCATTACACGCCGGCTCGCTGTGGCTGCCAGATAGCGATGTGTTCGAGGATTCGCTAGATAAAAGCTCAGACTCCGGAGCAAGAGTTCCATGCTTTGCGTTCTTGGTCGAGCATAAGGCGAACGGGAAGTTGATGTTCGATCTGGGTTTGCGGAAGGTATGTGAGTATCTTTCAAGCCACATTGTCAAGTCTGATGGCAGCGGGTGACTAGCATGGCCTAGGCTACCCACCAGCCTGGGATGAGACCTTGCGAGAGCTCAAAGCGGACTGTTCGCGCGACGTGGCGGATATCCTCAGGGAGGGACACGTTATTCCAAATGAAATAAGCACCGTCGTGTACAGGTACATTCCTCTCCCTTGCATTCGGGGTTTGCAAACATTATCCGCAACCACAGCCACCTACACTTTGATCATGTCGGCAATTTGGTACCTTTCTCATCGGCAGAACTTGTCATTGGTGCCCCCGCTGCGTCTCTGATGGAGAAAACCTACCCCAGTGACCCCGAAAGTTATTGGCCAGAGTTCCCCCAAGGTCAGAAAGTGCGCTATGTACATTTCGACGAACAAGACCAGCCCACGAATGTCGTCTCACCCTTCGGTCCCTTCGATCGGGCACTGGACTTGTTCAACGACGGATCGTTCTACCTGATCGATGCGCCCGGTCACTTTCCTGGCCACCTCGCTGCCCTGACTCGTGTCGCACCGAACAGTTTCGTGCTATTGGCAGCGGGGTGGTG